GGCTTTGGGTGGAGCGACGCGGGGCCTCGTTCTAATCTAGGGAGATGCGTGAGCACTGCCCCAGCCTCCCTCCTACCGGCCCCTCGGCGGTGCCGTCCTCCCTGCGACTCGGCCCACGCACTTGCTCTCCTGGCTCCTGCAGCCGGCGGTCAAAGTCAAGGCAGAGCCCGGGGTCTCGACAGGAAGCGGCCGCTGCCCGCGGTGCAGCCGGGTGGGCCCTGCGGCTCCCGACCTCGAAAGAAAAGAAAGCGGCGCAGAAAACGCAGACACTGGCCGTGGGGCTCGGACCGAGGGGATGCGGAACCGAAGCCTGTATTCCTCCTTACCTCCCGGGGAACCCTGCCCCGTTAACTCTCCATTCCGCGGTCCGGGAGCGGTGGGAGGGGACCCAGCCTATAGAAAAAAAATGTAAAAGGCTAACAAATGCATGCAGTGCACTCTCTAAGCTCTTACCTCGTGATGGTTATGTGCCTGGAAAATGTTTAATTAGCTAACGAGGTCGGGGGAGGGGCTTTCTTGGTTGGTAAATAAATTGCCTTCTCCGATGTTTCCGATCTTTGGAACAAGCAGAACAGCCACTGGCTCTTCTGCGGGAAATTCTCGAGAATGTGTTGCCCGCTGGGGGCCAGCTGGAGAGGCGGGGGAGTCTGTTCGCATTGACGGACGCAGCTCCGGCCAATCCGCGCTTGGAGAGGCGGTGCGCCTGACACCCGGAGCACCAATCACAGATCCCGATGGGAACGAGCCTCCCCACCACTGCAATTTCACTTGGCCGCCCCGGGAAGCAGCGCAGGGTAGAGCGACGTCGACTGGGGCCAATAGCAGCTCGCGGTGACATCCCACGCAGCAAGGCCTTGGCGCACCAGCCAATGAGGAGGCGCCTCGGTGGTGGGTGGGGTCGGGATACAGTACCAAGTGAGGGTCGACCACCAGGAGCAATAAGGATGTCTCTAGGGCCAAAGGGGCGGTGGTTGTGACAACTAGGAAACCGAAAACGGAATGCTAATTCTTTGCCTGGGCAAGGGCGCTTGAAAGGCATCTGGTTCATTGTTATTATTTGAAAAATTCACAGTGCAGCGTTCTCCGTGAGAAGTCATCATGTGATCCCTTGGGAATGTCTCATTCATTCGACCAGTATTTGTTTATCCAGGATTTTTTTTGTATGCCAGGGACTGTGCTAAGCACTGGAGATACGATCGTGGCGCAACTAAACATGATAGCTGCCTTATAAACAAACAGGTAAACAAGCAAATAAAATAACAAATGTCAAGGAAGGAAATGGACAAGGTGTGGATATAGAGAATAAGAGGAGGTTGACATCAGATAGGGAGGGTTGTTATAAGATAATTTTATAAGATAACATTTAAATGGAGACTGGACGAATAAGAATCAGTCCTGACACCAGGAAAGTGATAATTGTTCTGGGCAGAGAGAGCAGCAGAGCAAAGGTCCTGAGGTGGAACAGCTTGACATTTTGGAAGAACAGAAAGAAGGCCAGTGTGTCTCCAGTACAGAGTTAGGGGAGAGCAGTATGACATGAGATGGATGAGGTAGACAGAAATCAGACCATGTAACCATTAATTTTAAATTTAATGGGACTCTATTGCGGCATTTAAGCAAAGGAGTAAAAGGATCTGGTTAAGATTTTAAATCACTTTGGTTAATGGGTTGAGAACAGGTAGAACAGGCTATTGGGAGACTGGGTAGGAGATTGTATCAGATGAGATGCCAGGGAGGAAATGACCTGGCTTAAACTACGGCGATATCTGTGGAGGTAGAGAAAAACAGAGAGATTGGAGATTTTAAAGATAAATTATTAGCTTTTTTTGACATGCTGGGATCTTGATTCTGAGACAACTGTTTTGAATCCAGTTCATTGAATACTCTGTTTAGAGAGTGATTCTCACACTGATGGCTCACAAATTCTAGTAATGATATTGAGGATTATCACATTGTGTTGAAATTCATATTTCACGGGTTTTCTGAAATTTTCTTTATGTTTTTAATTATTTATTGAAATATTTTATGTGTATTTACATATGCAGAAAAGTACACATATCTCAAGTGTACATAGCTCAATGAATTTTCACAATCTGAACACACCTGTGTATATATCACGCAGATCAAGCAACAGAACATTATTAACAGCCTGGGACCCCATCATACTGACTTTCAGTCATTGCCTATCCCGACTTTCAACACAGAATAGTTTGCCTGTCTTTGTACTTGATATATATTTAGAGAACCATAAAGTATGCGTTCTTTTGTGTTTGATTTCTTTACTCGACTTTTTACTTATAAGTTTCTTCCATTCATTCATTTCATTCCATTCTGTAAATATACCACAATTTATGAATTCATTCTTCTGTTGGTCATTAGGGTAGTTTCCAGTTTGGAGCTATTAGAGATAGTGCTACTCTGAACATTCTAGTACATGTCTTTTGATGATAGCCTTTTCTTTTGATGGAGCATTTTGATATCTGGGTTTTAAATGCAATTAAGTTTTTTTAATCTGTTCATTAATAATGTAGTACCACGCATTGCAATGTCTTAAACATTTGGACCAAAGTTTGGTGCAGATAATGAAGGACTTTGCTCTCATAAATATGAAAACTTTTCGCAACAACAAGGAACTATAAACATAGGAATTTAAAACATTTTTTATTATATTTGGCATTTTGACCTTTTTAAGTACTTGCAATCTGTATGTTCAGAGTTTGAGAACATCATGACTTTGCTACATCTTTTTGTTGTTGCTGTTGTTGTTTTTAATCCTCACCCAAGGATATTTTTCCTTTTTTTTTTTTTAGAGAGAGAGAGTGGAAGGGAGAGGGACATAGAGAGAGAAACATCAATGTGATGAGAGACACATCAATTGGTTGCCTCCTGCTTGAACCTCGACCAGGGCCAGGGATTGAGCCTGCCACCTGGACCAGAATCGAACCTAGGACGCTTCAGTCCACAGGCCGATGCTGTATCCACTGAGCAAAACCGGTTAGGGCGCTACACCTTTAAAAAAAATTTTTTTTTAATTTAGTTCAGAGAGAGGAAGGGAGAGAGGGATAGAAACATCAATGATGAGAAAGAATCATTGATCGGCTGCCTCCTGCACACCCTACTGAAGATCCAGCCCACAACCCAGTATGGGAGTTGTGGCTGATCCAGCCCACAACCCAGTATGTACCCTGGACTGGAATCGAATCTGGGACTCTTCAGTCCATAGGCCAGTGCTCTATCCACTGAGCCAAACCAGTTAAAGTGCTACATCTTTTTAAAAAATTGTTTTATTGCCCTGACCGGTTTGGCTCAGTGGATAGAGCATCGGCCTGCAGACTGAAAGGTCCCAGGTTCGATTCCGGCCAAGGGCATGTACCTTGGTTGCGGGCACATCCCCAGTAGGAGGTATGCAAGAGGCAGTTGATCGATGTTTCTCTCTCATCGATGTTTCTAACTCTCTGTCCCTCTCTCTTCCTCTCTGTGAAAAATCAATAAAATATATTTTAAAACAAAATTTAAAAAAATAAAAAATTGTTTTATTTAGTTCAGAGAGAGGAAGAGAGAGGGAGATCCAGCCCACAACCCAGGCATGTGCCCAGACCAGGAATTGAACCATGACCTCCTGGTTCATGGGTCTACAATCAACCACAGAGCCACACAAGCCGGGCTGCTACGTCTTTTTACTATAATAGACTGTAATCCACAGTCATATGATAAGCAAGGTCCTACGGTTATGCATATGTTTGATGCTAATACAGTTTTTGAAATTACATGTGGAAACCACATCATTCCACATTCTATCAGAGTTGATTACAAAAGTTTACTTCTTTTGAATGACATACTTCTGCTCTTTGAATCTCTGAAGCAAGGCTAAATGTAGTACAAATGTACATCTACTCAGCATGAGAGAGCACATAATGTCCAAAAGAAATAAGTAAACACAATACTCCATGCCTTACTTAACTTGAGCTGTTTTTTATTTCACTTTATACTTCAAAGAATTGAACTATTTGATAATAGTGACTATCAGGAAATTATACCCACAATAGGTCATAAAGCTTTGGGTAGGTGCATGGCATAGGGGCTTGTAAAATATAAAGTAGGGACATTTGAGTCTTGAGTAAGCCACTTGAGATTTAGGCTAATTAACTACCAAAATGAAATTGTTTAAATTAGCATATTAAACATTTTAAAAGTTTATCTGAGCAAAAATCAATTGGAATTGGGCAGCAGTAAGCCAAAGGTGGTTAGGAGCACTGCACCAACAGGAGCCAGAAGGAAGGTTTTATAAAGATGCTAAAGCAAAGCAAAGAAGTTATTTGATTGGCTATGGCCTAAGTAGTTACCTTTGAAGAAGAGTGAAAACATAAAATGGAGTCACTGTCGTCAAGCTGCTAAATTACTAAAATGAAGTAGCTTGAGGCATGAGGAAATGATTATATTCTTGTTTTAACTAGCCTGGAAACAAACTTTTGAATTTTCTAGTCTTGTGTTAATGCTTAGATATATAACAACTCTTCTTTTTTTAAATATATTTTTATTGATTTCATAGAGGAAGGGAGAGAGAGAAAGAGAAACATCTATGATGAGAGAGAGTCATTGATCAGCTGCCTCCTGCACGCTGGGCCTATGGGATGGAGCCCGCAACCCAGGCTTGTGTCCTTGACCGGAATCAAGCTCAGCACCCTTCAGTCCGCAGGCCAATTCTCTATCTGCTGAGCCAAACCAGTTAGGACATAACAATTCATTGTGTATCAATACCTGGACCTATACCAGACCTCCAGATAATCCCCTTGAAGGACTCATTTATCCAGACCACCTTACATCCATTATCCAGACCATTGAGCATCTGACTGATAACTATCCTGAACCAATCCTAGGACTAAGAATGCAGGACTGATTCTTCTCAAGAAAGTACTTTTTACTATAAGCACTCTTAGCTTTTCTTTCTTCTTCATCTTATTTGGGAAAATGTAGTTGGCCGTTTGTGATCGGTTGTCCTTAGATTTCCATTACTCCCCCTTGAGGCAGTAAGTTTTGGTTTGTTTAAGTGAGCTACTAAGGCATTAAAGTAACCCCAGTCTATTGTTTAATATAAGCTAACACTACCCACTTTTCTAATTAGTTACTAACTAGAGGCCTGTTGCACGAAAAGATTCATGCAATAGGCCTTCCCTTCCCCTGGCTGCCTGCACCGGTTTTCCTTTGGCACCGGGGACCCAGGCCATCTTTGTTGGCGGTTAATTTGCATATCTCGCTGATTAGCCAATGGGAAGCGTAGCGAAGGTATGGTCAATTACCCTGTTTGTCTATTATTAGATAGGATACTCGTGGGAGCCATATAGTGTGTAATAATGAATTGATAATTTTATTAATATTCACTTATGAATAATCAATTATTTTGAGATAACTTTTATCACCTGAGAAACTCTGATCTGCATAACAAGACAAACCTTGCCCTGGCCCAGTAGCTCAGTGGGTCAGAGCATCACCCTGATATGCTAAAGCTGTGGATTCCCTCCCTGGTTCGGGCACATACAAGAATCAACCAATGAATGCATGAACAAATTCCCTCTCTTTCTCTCTCTCTCTCTCTCTCTCTCTCTCTCTCTCTCCACCCCTCCCTCTCTCTCTAAAATCAATAAATAAGTTAATTTAAAACACACACACACACAAGACAACCCTAATCTACCATACGTTTCTTCCCT